GTATTAGCATTACTTTTCATTGACAGACATGTATTTTCCCTAAAAAATTAAAATAAATTTTGGGATTTAAAATCTTGCCGGTATATAAAGAAATAGGTTCATAAAACTGGCGTTACTATAGTAAGCCCTTATTATCCAGAGAGGGAGGAGTTTGTAGGTTGTGTATTAGAGATACCTTTTGAAAGTAAGGCTTTGGGGGCCCCTAATTTTGTTTATAATACTAAAACCTAACATATGTAATTGCTGTGAGGATAAAAATGGAACTAAAATAATTAAGACTAATGACTGCTGTTACACTTTTTATGCAGTTGAATTTAGATCTGATAAGTTTCAAGCACAGCTTATTCTAGACTACACCTAACTACAATTTGTAAATGCCTTTAGTGCTTCCCTGACGTTGTACCCCAACTAACACCAGCCCACCACGGCTCTCCCTACCCTACCCCCGACTATTCTGCACTTTGAAACACAAAGCAACTTGTCAGTTCAGTTTATTCAGTTAAGGTCAGTTCCGTGAAAACAAAGTCAAGGCAATTATTTGATTTAATTGACTAGTGAAACTGGTTATACAGGTAAGTAGAACTTAGTTTTATTTTTGTCCAGCTGCATATTTGAATGTTCATAAAGTAACTTAGTAGAGTAAGTAATAAGATTCCGGTGACATTGTAATAGATTTAAAAGAATGATTACCAAAGCAAGGAAAAAAGACACTAAAACCCAAACTATAGAAAATATTCGTGGTATTTTTTTTCTTTATGGCTTTGCTTTTGCTGTAATGAATCATGTCCAAAAAATGAAGTCGTCTTTTCTTTCACTGTTCATTTCCTTTTCTTTGAGGAATTTTTTTTTCTTGGGCTAATGTAACCAAAAGGAAGTGTTCTAATATAATTTAGTTGAATCATTTGAGTAACTTAAAATGTAGTCCTCAATCAGCAAGCAGATATTCTTTAACAGCTAGCTGGTCAATCACCTTTTGGATTCTCTTTTTTCCTTGCCCACCTAGATCTCATGGCCGATGATTCTAACAATGATTCTTTCTGCCTTTGATTCTTTCTGCCTTCCACGGTACCTTCCACTATACCCTTCCTACTGTTCTCTACACCTTCAGCTTCTAGGCTGCTAATCCTTCATTTCTTTTATGTGAGTAGAACACCAAAAAATTGCAGTAACAAAATAAGTTCTATGTGTAGATCTTAATAATATATATATATATATCTCGTTAATGTAATTCACTTGAGAAAAAAAAAATAGAAATCATTTCTTGTCCCAGAAAAAAAGAGCAAATCTTTAGCCTCCATTGAACTTGTTAGTGACTATGAAGGAAAGAAGAAAAAAATATTTAAACATATAAAAGGCTAGAATTTTATTGTCAAAGACCGTGTTAAGGTCATAAAGTAGGAATTTTGTAGTATTTTTGTTCTGTGTAGTAAAATACTCCCTTCCCTACCCCCCAGTTTTAAAATAGGTATCCACCACTTTTATAGAGATTATTCAGTTTTCGCATATCAAACTTCAGAATACTTTTTCTGAGAACTCATTAGGTACCAAAGTATGGGCTTACGGATACTGACAGTGCTGTGTTTAGTCCTATACTGACCTACATTTTATATTTGCTTAGCAAAAGAGCAAACACAATAAAAAAATTTTAAAAAACTAAGGTTGGTTGGGTATAGAAGTTAATAAAATCCTTAAGGGGGGTTGCCTGGGTGGCTCAGTCAGTTAAGTGTCTAACTAAGGCTCAGGTCATGATCCCAGGGTCCTGGGATCGAGCCCCACATTGGGCTTCCTGCTCATCAGGGAGCCTGCTTCTCCCTCTCCCTCTCCCTCTGCCCTTCTCCCCTGCTGATGTGCTCTCTCTCTCTCTCTCTGTTAAACAAATAAATAAAATCTTTAAAAAATAAATAAAATCCTTAGGGAAAGAATTTTGGTCTTACATACTGAGAGCATTACATAGTCCTTAACCTTAGTGCAACTTATGTCTGAAAAAATTCACAAAGAAAACTTAAAAAAAAAATTAATTTTGAAGTCTGTTGCAATATTAAACTAGTAAAAAATGGATAACATCCTAAATGTTTATTACTATAAGCAATATAATTATAGGACCTTGGCTTCCTAGACAATTTTGTCACCACTAAAATCATATATTAAGGTACTCTAAGAGCTTGGGAGAATAATTATATAAGGTAAAGTGAAAAGGCATAATATAAAGTTACACATAATACACTAGCAATAAGCAATCCAAAAAGAAATTAAGAAGACAGTTCCATTTATAATAGCATCCAAAAGAGAAAAATGCTTAGGAATAAATTTAATCAAACAGGAGAAAGATTTGTACACTGAAAACTACAAAACATTCCTGAAGAAATTTAAATTTAAAAAGACCTAATAAATGGGGGGCCCCTGGGTGGCTCAGTGGGTTAAGCCTCTGCCTTCCCTTAGGTCATGATCTCAGGGTCCTGGGATAAAGCGCCACATCAGGCTCTCTGCTCAGCAGGGAGCCTGCTTCCCCTTCTCTCTCTCTGCCTGCCTCTCTGCCTACTTGTGATCTCTCTCTCTGTCAAATAAATAAATAAAATCTTTAAAAAGAAAAAAAGACCTAATAAATGGAAGACATCCCACGTTCACAGATTAGAAGACTTAGGTGACAGTACCACCCAAAACAATTTACAGATTCCATGCAATCCCTAACAACATCCTAACAACATTTTTTGCAAAAATAGAAAAACCCATCCAAAAATTCATATACAATTTCAAGGGACACTGAATGGCTAAAACAATCTTGAAAAGGAAAAATGAGGTTGGAGGACTCACACTTCCAGATTCTAAAATTTACTACAAAAGTTCAGTAGTCAAAACAGTGTTGTACTAGCATAAGAATATATAGATACGACTAATGGAATAGAATAGAGCCTAGAAATAAATCTTCATGTATATGGTCAATGGTTTTTCAACAAGATTGCCAAGACCTTTCAATGGGAAAAAAGACAGTCTTTTCAAGAAATGATAAAACTGGATATCTACATGTAAGACATTGAAATTGAACCCATACCTTACATTATATACAAAAATTAATTCCAAGTGGATCAAAGACCTAAATTTCAGAGCTAAGAATGTAAAACTCAAAGAAGAAAACATAGGAGGAAATCATGATCTTGGGTTTCGTAATTGTTTCTTAAAAATGACATCAAGGGACGCCTGGGTGGCTCAGTTGGTTAAGCAGCTGCCTTCGGCTCAGGTCATGATCCTGGCGTCCTGGGATCGAGTCCCGCATCGGGCTCCTTGCTCGGCGGGGAGCCTGCTTCTCCCTCTGCCTCTACCTGCCATTCTGTCTGCCTGTGCTCGCTCGCTCTCTCTCCCTCTCTGACAAATAAATAAAATCTAAAAAAAAAAAAAAAAATGACATCAAAAGGGGCACCTGGGTGGATCAGTCAGTTGAGCTTCTGCCTCCCGCACAGGTCATGATCCCAGGGCTCTGGGATCAAGTCTCACATAAGGCTCCCTGCTCAGCAGGGAGTCTGCAGCTTCCTCTCCCTTTGCCCTTCTCCACTGCTCATGCTCTCCCTTCTCTCAAATTAATGAGTAAGATCTTTAAAAAAAAAAAAAAAACACCAAAATTACAGGCAACAAAAGAAAAACTAGGAAAGTTGGACTTCATGAAAATTAAAGAGTTTTGTGATCAAAAGACCCACAGAATGGGAAAAGATATTTGCAAATCATATGTCAAATAAGGAATATCTAGAACATAAAAGAGCTACTACAACCCAACAACAAAAAAGCAGACAACCTAATTAAAATATAGGTGAAAAACTTGAATAGATATTCCTCCAAATAAGATATACAACAGCCAATAGGCACATGAAATAACAGTGTTGGTGAGGATGTGAAGAAAGTAGAACCAAGTGCATTGTTAATAGGAATGTAAAATGAGGCACCCTCTGTGGAAAACAGTTGCCAGTTCCTCAAAAAGTAAAATATAGAAAAAAATATATAATTACCATAGAACCTGGCAGTTTCATTGCATTCCTGAGTAGAACCCCAAAGGAATTAAAAGTGGGAACTCAAAATATTTATTTATACACCACTATTTGTAGCAACATTAGTTACAATACCAAAAAGTGAAAACAGCCCAAATATTCATCAACAGGTGAAAAAACACACAATGGAATATTATTTAACCATAGAAAGGAATGAAATTCTGATACATGGTACAGCATGGATGAATCTTGAAAACATTACATTAATGAAATAAGCAGACAAAATGACAAATATTATATGATTCCCCTTATATGTCTAGAATAAGCAAACTCATAGAGACAGATTGTAGAATAGAGGGGGGGTGGGGGGCATGTTTTTACTTAATGGATACTTTTGTTGCAACTGATAAAAATATTCCAGAAATAGATACTAGTGATGGTTACACAACATTTTGAATGTACTTAATGCCACTGAAGGTGTACACTAAAATGGTTCAAATGCTAAATTTTATATTATTATATTTTAACTATAATTTCTTAGAAACTTCATTATACATATTGATTTAGCTACAGTTCATCAATTTTATAAATAAAGATGGAAGGAAATATGAAGACATGAGAAAAATGCTAAATTATAATGTCATTATGTTATTTTGAATAAAGAAAGCTCAAATAAAAGATTTTTATTTTAGCTAAAGAATATTTATTAAAAGAGATAAATTTTATGTTACATATCTTCTCACACCAACAAATGGCAAAACATTGAGGTGACCCACCCCTAAAATTGGTAACAATTCATATTTTATTTAAAATTTTTCTTTCCTATTAATGTATTACTTGTTATTATCATAAAGAATAGTTATATTGATTAATAAGTTTTAAAACCTTCAAAGTTACATAGGAAACACTTTTCTGAGTAATTCATGTAAGGGAGTTTTGGTGTACTGTGTCTATGCTACAGCATTTTGGATAACCTTAGTTTCTTGTAAAATTTTTTAGATTTTCATGAAATCTGTTTTTCTTTAGCTTAACAGGGCCAATTCTCTGTTAAACCAGACTCAACAGCCTTACAGATATCTCATTGAATCAGTGCGTCAGAGAGATTCTAAGATTGATTCCCTGAAGGAGTGTATTACACAACTTGAGAAGGATGTCAGGTAAATCGTCTATAAATCTTTTATTTGAATTATAAAGGCAATGTAAGCATAATACTGCTATCCATGAATTAAGTTTGTAAATTGTGAAGAAAAAATGTAAATAGTGAACATGGTCTTAAATGTAATTTATCTTAGAGAAACTGGGTCACATTAGTTATTCACATTCCACCTTATGATCAGAAGTCTTAGCCTGGAAATAATAATGCTGTGCTTATTAACAAAGCACTCCACCAGCGATCGGATATAAGCAGCTATTCTGTCCTTGTTTCTCTAGAATTCTTGACCAAAGGAAGAAGAGGAATATAACCAGATACCATTTGTGGAGTCAAAATGACTTTTTTCTTTTTTCAGTAGGGTCCATGCCCAGTGTGGAGCCCATCACAGGGCTCAAATTCATGACCCTGAAATCAAGATCTGAGCTGAGTTTAAGAGTCAGACACTTAATTGACTGGGGTGACTTCCAGGCACCCCAAAAATGACTTTTTTTTTTTTAAGATTTGTATATTTGAGAGAGAGAGAGAGCGCACACATTGGGTGGGGGAGATGCAGAGGGAAGATACATCAGGATCATTTAGGGAACTTTGTAGGAAGTAAAAATTCCTGAGTCCTCTCTACAGAGACATTTATTTTTATTTTTTAAGATTTATTTATTTCTTTTAGAGAGAGAGAGAGAAAGCAGGAGAAAGGAACAGAGAAAAGAGGGAGAAAGAGAGTCTCAAGCAAACTCCACATTGAACGGGGAACCCGAGATCATGACCTTAGCCAAACCAAGAGTTGGACACTTAACCAACTAGGCTTCCCAGGCAACGCCCCCCAAAAAATGACTTTTTAAACACACAAAATACACACATTTGCTTAGATTCTGTTGACTTTGCCAAGCAATTTTTTAGGCTTTTCTTCCCCTGACTCTACATGAGGTAGCCCATGAATTACCTAAATGTAAATAAATCCCTTTCACTTCCTTCGACTGAAATTGTTTTCTTACATGACCCCTTACCCAAAAGACTTGTTCCATTTAATAGTCATTCAAATTCCTTACCTGTTCATATATATAATCATTTTAGTCTTTTTAAGTTGAAGTAGAAGAATGATGTTATACATAAGAAAGATGTTTTAACTCATGGGTGGTTGATTAGTTGGCTCAGTTATTGGATTTTAAGATTGTTAGAATAACTTAGATAAATTATTAACCAATTCATAAATGTAGAAGCAGAGAATTAGATGGGAATAGAAACTGTTAAATTAAGGAACTGAAAAATAATTAGGAGACTATAGTTATTAAATTCAGATTTCCTAAGGTATATAACCATGTATGGGTGGGTGTTCTCTCTGAAGAATCAGAATAATTACCTTCTCTTGCTTCTACCCTGCCAAAATAATTGATTCAAAACTTTACTCCTAATTTTAAATTTCAGGATGATATGATAAAATAATTTTAAATCACATTTCTTCAAATGTCAATATAAATAATAATTTACTCCTACATTAATTTTAAAGTTAAAAATTAGATTTAGAATATATATAACCTACATTAATTAAATTTATTAAATAATAAATAAACCAAATTAAGAAGTTAATTAAAATAATTCAGTGAATCACTTAAGCAGTTATTCTGTAAGTAGCTATTGGGGGCAATAGAAATTATGTCTTATCACTCACTAGGCACTTGGTTATCTTAAGGAAATTGAGGGAAGAACCCTAAATAGGAATTTTGCTTCCTATATTATGTATTTCTTCCTATAATATTTTTGAAATTTTGTATAGAATCTCCTTTTACTTTTTTAATCTTGGAGCAGGAACATTAAAGTCCTGTGATAAAATTACCTTTCACAGTTACCTTCAAATAAATTTATTTGAGTATTTATTTTACTAAGACTTAGGAGTTGAAAAGATTTAATATAGAGAAAAATAATACCTATAGGAGGAAATGATTAAGATGAATAAGTTCAGCCCTAAAGAAATTAAGCAACTTGTTATCTAAGAATGTACATACAGCTTTGTGGTAGGGTCAAAATTTGAATCCAGATCTGTCTGCTTCCTAATTCTGTACTCTAAACCATTATGTTATACTGCCTCCCTATGTTCTATTCTGAATAAGGGAGAATTTTTCATTAACTCATATAATTAAGGAAGAGAAGTAAAAAAAAAAAATAGCGTAGAAGAGTGCTTTAAAGTGGAGCTTTAATGAATTGATAATTGCTAAAGCTAGGTGGTAGATACTTGTGGGTTTGTTATATTTTCCTTCTTTCGAAATATTCCAAATAAAGTTGTTTTAAAAAAACAGATTTTAAAAGGGAGTACAGGCTCTATAGATAGGTTACATGGGTTTAAATCTAGCTCAGTACTTAGTTTTGAGTTAAAGCCAGTCCATTAAACTCTCTAAACCTCCATTGTCCAATAGAACTTTCTGTAATGGTAAAAATACTCCATGTCTTCTGCACTGTCAGTATGGCCACTACCCATATGAGGAACTAAATTTTTTATCTTAATTAAGTTAATTTTAATTGCCACCTGTGGCCAGTTAATGGCTCTGGTATTGGACAGTAGAGCCAGTTTTCTTATCTGTGAAATGCGAGTGATACTCTAGTACTAGCAGCACTTAATTCGTATAGTTATTCTGAGGATTAAACAATGTAATCTCTGTAATATGTATAGCACTGTGCCTACACATTATGAATGCTGTGTAAATGTTTGCTATTATTAGTATTTATCTTACATGAAACAAATTTTTATGTTGAAAGTTATCTTAAAAATGAGAAATTACATTTCTCAAAACATTTTGAATTTTGACAAAAATTAGGACTCCCTTAATAACAGCAACATCATCATGAAAACTATGTCAGTTATGAAAGTAACTATAAAAAACATTTTTGTGCTAAAATCTGGATCCTTTAAAGCTATGTTTCATGAACTCACTATATAAATATTTTAATCGATTCTGAACTAGTATTTCACAGGATATGAAATCTTGCTCTTAATTGAAGCAACTACCTTCTAATGTGAAAAATTAAGGTGCTTTTAGTAGTTTAATTATGGCCTTTGAGATGCTGTTAAATGTACCCTCATGACATGAATGAAATACCATAAAAAATTGCACAGTCCACAAGTCAGAGCTAGCAGTCTGTCTACCCTCTCTCTTACTTGGAGCCGATGACATTTCAAATGTAGAGGAATTATCCTGGACTTTGAATACACATCAGCCAGTTTCTATTGTCATGGTAGATGTGCCTGTAAATTACAGCTACTGGTGTGAACATCAAGGGTTAGATGTGAAAATTAAATGAAATAACATATACAAAGCTTCTGGCGCATGGGAGAAACTCAGTAAATATTACTTCCCTTCCTTTTGCCCTTCATTAATTTGAAATTTAAACATCAGATGTCCCATTCAAAACAATTACCAAGTGATCATGTCTTAAAAAGGCCTATCCTTTTTGCTAGGTGTTGATTTTAATTGTAAGGAATATTTACATGAATTGATTACTTTTTAAATAGAAGTATAGTTGACATGCCATATTATATTAATTTCAGGTGTGCAACACAGGGATTAAACATTTTATATATGTTATGAAATGCTCACCCCAGTGTGGTTACCATCTGTCACCATACAAACTTATTACAGTATTATTGACTCTATTCCCCATGCTGTACTTTTCATCCCCATGACTTATTTATTTTATAGCTGGAAGTTTGTACCACTTTATCCCCTTCACCTGTTTTGTCCAAACCACCCCCCCTCCCCTCTGGCACCCACCAGTTCTCTGTATTTATGAATCTTTCTGTTTTGTTTTGTTTGTTCATTTGTTTTGTTTTGGAGATTCCACGTGAAAGTGAAATCCTGCGGTATTTTTCCTTCTCTATATTACTAATTTCATTTAGTATAATACCTCTAGGTCCATCCATGTTCTTGCAAATGGCAAGATTTCATTCTTTTTTATAGCAGACTAATATTCCCGTGTGTGTGTGTGTGTACACACTACATCTTTATCCATTCATCTATCTATAGGTTGCCTTTTTGTTTTGTCGACAGTTTCCTTCGCTATTTCAAAGCTTTTTAGTTTGATATAGTTCCAGTTATTTATGTCTATTTTTACTGCCCTTACATGAGGAGACAGATCCAAAAAAAAAATAATCGCTAAGACCAATGTCCCAGAGTTTATTGCCTATGTTTTCTCTTAGGAGTTTTATGGTTTCAGTTAAATGATTACTCTTTAAAATATGTCTCTAGCTTATACAATAGAAGCTCTTTAAGGAACTGAATAATTTTATCATTGTCTTAGAAAATAAAACAATGCCACTATACCAACCCCCAACTTGCAAATTTATCTATTTATATTCAGTGTCTAGAAAGGTTAGAGTAAATAGGTACCAAAATGAAATCATTATGAACATATTAAAAGCTAGCATTTGAGTTATCACTATGAAGTACTTTAAATTTCCCTATCATTAAAGTAATAATCCATTCTAAAGGTAGTACTGTTAAACTCTCCTCTACCGAGCCACCAGAGACCGTCTGAGTTATGTAGTTTGATCTATGGCCCAGAACTGAAGGAAGCACAGAAAGAGAATACTTAGCATAAATTTCCTTTTCCCATTGTCAGTTCTCAGTTTATTCTTAACTAGTAGTTTAAGAAGAAAAGACTACTTAGCCTTGTGAGGCTAAGCCAGGGTATATTGATCCAGGAAGTTAAAGTACATTATATCAGGAATATGTTTTCATATAGCAGGTGACACAGAGCCATAAAGACGAATTTCTGAGTAATAATTAACAGTGAATTGAACAGTTATGGGTGTAATATACCATTCACGGTAGATGTGCTTATAAGGAGATTTGTTTTGTAGTTGCTTTATGAGTCACGCATGGAAGCTTTGTATTTTTAAAGGCAAATTTCCACTGTTATGAAATATGTCTTATGGAGACTAAACTTCAATTGAGTAATTACATACACACTGGAAGAACACAGAGTATAATAATCATCATATGCAGTTTTAGAGACCTGTGTGCTGAAGATGGTCTCCCTTGTGGTTTAAGAGTGTAATATAGAGAAGGCTGAGACTTTGAAAATATATACCCAAGTATTGTCTGAGGTGTCTGTACCGTTTGCAATAAACTCACGTCTTACAGATAGAACAGAGTTGCTCTGTGAACCAGTTTATCCACCCACCTTTTATCCTATATTGTACAGATATTTTTGCTGCTTAAATATGGAATACTTCCTTTATCCTGGAAAAAATTAAGCACTACATATGAAGCATTTCTAACAGATTACCTAGTCAGATCCTTTATTTCATCAACATTTCATTCCTATTGCACACATTTTCTTTTTTTTTTTTTCTAAGATTTTATTTATTTATTTGACAGAGACACAGTGAGAGAGGGAACACAAGTAGGGGAAGTGGGAGAGGGAGAAGCAGGCCTCCCACTGAGCAGAGAGCCCAATGTGGGGCTCGATCCCAGGACCCGGGGATCACCAGCTGAAGGCAGACACTTAATGACTGAGCCACCCAGGAGCCCCTGCACACATTTTCTTTAAGGTCCTGTTGGTATTTGAGAGAGAGAGAGAGAAAGAGAGAGAGAGTATGTGTGTGTGTGTGTGTGTGTGTTACTGCCTGTGAGTGTATGTTTATGTAGTATATGTATGTAACATGTATATGAACATTAACATGTATATATGCATATCGTTAATACATTTCTGTTCCTCAAAAATCCTATTCCTGTGTTCTGGATGTTTAATTTAATTTTAAAAAATATTTGAATGCTACAGTTCAGAAACATCTGATCTTTACCATACTTTGCAGGACTCTGGCAGAATCTGATACTCAGGTACCTTTATGTCATTTAGTTCTTTTCAACTCCAAGGCTCAGTAGGATCTCTGATGCCTAATTCTGAAAGTCAGTCTGTTTTTCTGCTGAGCTGCTAACCTGTATGGCATTTAATTACTGTTTTTCTCCAATACCTGTATTTCATCTAAATTAGTAATACCATATGGCATTTATGTTGTGTTTTATATGTTTGATTCTTTATTTACTCATTCATTAGGTAATTCATATATCCCTTTGACATACATGAGTATTGTTTTCCACTTTTACAGATGTGAAAACTGAGGCTTAGTAGGGTGGTTGTGTGCTGTGCTTTATGGCACACACTTGAGTCAATGTCACAGTTGGAAACAGAAGTCAGAATTGCATCTTGTTTTTCTCTCAGAGGACAAATTATGGTGCTTCCTTGGGGAAGTTCAGTTACTAGGAAAAAGGAGAATGTGAGTTTTTTCCTCTTAAGTCCATGGAATTACCAGTTCTTTCAGAATACTTATTACTGTTCCTTGAATATTAAAAAAAAACAACTGCCTGATATTTTAAAAATTGGTGGCTTTCCATTTTCTTAAAGGATAATTTAAAACATCTTACCTATTCAGCAAAACAATCCTTACTAATTTTACCTTCACAGATTTTGTTTTGATATTTATGGAATTATGTTGTTTTGATTCAATGTTGCTTTTCTTAAGTCTTGATGTGGTGCTGAGGAGATTCATTCCAGTGACTTTCAAAGAGTATTTTAGTTAATGGTTCTAATTAATTTTTATATGTTGAATAATAAAACTCCAGACAGTACAAGACAGGCCTCAAATATTTCTCTCTTAAAATCCTAATATGTTCTTCTGTTTAGGCTTCTCACCCTTTCCTATCAGAAAATAAGTCCTGTCAAAGGCAAACTCTTGATACAGACTTACAAATTAAAGATTGAACTAAGAATTTGGAGGCAAAAATTGTTTATCACAGACTGAATATCTGATTCATTTGTCTAACTTAATTATATGCCTTGTAATTTAGTGCATGGTCAATTATAAAATGCTACTTTTAGTTTTAAGGATAAATGTTTTAATTTGACTTCCAGTGTCTTGAGTTTTAATATTTTCCCCAAACATACTTTTTAGCTTTTGTATAAATCCCACTTCATCATTTTTACATTTCAGGAGTAAATAATCATCTTTAAAACACCAATTTTTATGCCCTTACCAGGCAGGAAAGGATTCTCAGAACACATCTCATTTGCACTGTCAAATGATTATTAAAAGAAAAAGTCTTCTTAGAAAATAATTAGCTGTTGATGAAATCAAACATTATGGTGGCTGGTCTGCTATCTTTATGGACTATAAATTTAATTTCTCTTTAATTCAAACAGATTTGTTAGATTTGTCTTTTTAGCCTTTTGCTATTTACTATTTATTAATGAAATTTACACCAATATGATGACTTCTTAAAAACTTGGTGTTTTTTTTTTCAGCAATTTAAATAAAGAAAAGTCAGCTCTACTACAGATGAAGAATCAAATGGCATTAGATTTAGAACAACTTCTAAATCATCGTGAGGTACTTTTTTCATTTTGTCATAATTTTTACTTTCAGCTTTTTCAGAGTCCATATTGCATTAAGGTTACTAAATCCCAGTTGTCCATGTGCATTAATGACTTCTCATGTTTGCATCTCACTGTCATCAGGTCCTTTATATTGAATATGTGATATACTTAATTATTCTTTATGAATTAATTTAAACTTTATTCTTTGGGTTAATTCTTACTCCTGGAATGCCCCTTCTTGTTGCCGCCTTATTACCTTGTTCAATCTCTGTCACTGAATTTCCATATTATTTAATAATGATTTGTTTTACCTCCTTATCTCACTATACAGTAAATTTCTTTAGTGTATCTCTGTCTTATTCATCATTGTACTGCCCGTATGTTATGTATGCTTAGAGTCCATAAAGCATATTTTCTTGTTATTTCTCTTAGAAATCTTTTAGAGCTAATATAAAATTCCTCATTTTATAAAAGGAGAAATGAGTTTCAAGTGGCTTGAGTAAAGCCAGTTAGTTAGTAAATTGGAGATAACCCTAGTTTTCTTATTTTTTGAAGGAGACTTACTGAAATACAATACACATACAGTAAAATTCATGCCCTGTTTAGCATACATTTCTATGATTTTTTACCTACACACCCAGCTTGTAACCATCACCACAGTCAATATGTAAAATAGTTATATCACTTCAGAAAATTCCTTCATGCCCATTTTATTTTAAATTCTATTTTAAATATTAAAGATTTTCTTTATTTGACAGAGAAATAGCAAGAGAGGGAACACAAGAAGGGGGAGTGGGAGAGGGAGAAGCAGGCTTCCCGCTGAGCAGAGAGCCTGATATGGGGCTCAATCCCAGGACCCTGAGATCATGACCTGAGCCAAAGGCAGATGCTTAACAACTGAGCCACCCAGGTGCCCCTCATGCCCCTTTAGTATTGACTCTTTTCCCCAACTCCAGTCCTAGAAACCACTGATCTGTTTTCTATCCCTGTAGTTTTGCCTTTTCCAACAAACCATATTACATTTTCCCAGAATGTTGTATAAATGAAATTACCAGTCTTTTCAGACTCAACTTTTTTCACTTACCATAAAAAAGATTCACCCATATTGTTGCAAATATTAGTCATTTATTCCTTTTTGTTGCTGAGTAATATTCTATTGTATGGATGTACCAGAGTTCGTTAATCCGTTCACCAGTTGATGGATATTTGAGTTGTTTCCATTTGGAGACCTCTATAAATAATAAAGCTGTATAAATGATTGTGTAAGTGTTTTGGTGTAAATATAAGTTTCCTGGGGCGTCTGGGTGGCTTAGTCACTGGGCGTCTCCCGTTGGCTCAGGTCATGATCCCAGGGTCCTGGGATGGAGCCCCACATGGGGCTCCCTGCTCAGCAGGAGGCCTGCTTCTCCCTCTCCCCCTACCCCTGCTTGTGTTCCCTCTTTCGCTGTCAACTAAATAAAATCTTTAAAGTGAATATATATATATATATATATATATATATATATATATATATATATTTCCTTTTCTCTTGGTAAATACCCCAGGAGCAGGATTTCTGGGTCCTATGGAGAGTGTATGTTTAACTTATAAGAAGCTGCCGAACCGTTCTGCAAAGTGACTATACGTTGTGCGCTCGCGTCAGCAGTGAACGAGTGTCCCAGCTGTTGGGCGTCCTCGCCAGCAGTTGGTATCGTGAAGCCTAGTTTTTTAATCTCGTGCATTTTTACGCTGAACTATCAGTGCCTTGTCTTGGCAATGTTTTTACCATTTTGTTATCCTAACAGAGAAAGAAATGCTCAAAACAGATCATTTGTTTATGAGTATCCTGAAGGCATCGTTTCCTAGTCTGGGAAAGAGATATCAGGAATTTGGGAAGAAATTATTGGAAGGATATTATTGAGAGAAACGAACTGGGGAATATTACTGGAAGCAGTTCAAAGGTGCATATCCTAGAAATGGTGTCAAGGGAATTGCAGGGTTGTCTCTGTCTTAGAAATGGCCTTTGAAGTAGGTTCTCTTAAAGGTGTATATGACAGACAAAAGGGATAAGAAGGTGTCCCTGGACTAGATTTGAGAGATGACTTTTGCATAGATAACCAGATCTAAAAACAGGTGATATAGACTAGGAAGAGCTTCTCTGAAGATACTTATTCTTTTTCTCTAATTTTCAGGCCTTATCTGCTACCACTTGGGCCCTAAGATTCTGCCCTCAAATAATTGTTTCTTCACTGGGGAAGCCTGATTCATTCACTATGTGGATTTTCACAAATGCTTTAAAAAATGAATATTTAAGAAACAGTAATCACAGGAGCGTCTAGGTGGCTCAGTCAGTTAAGTGTCTGACTCTTGATTTCAGCTCAGGTCATGAGCTCAGGATCAAGAGAGCTAGCCCATCTCGGAATCCACTCTGAGTGGATTCTCTCTCTCGGGGCGCCTGGGTGGTTCAGTGGGTTAAAGCCTCTGCCTTCAGCTTGGGTCATGGTTCCAGGGTCCTGGGATCAAGTCCCACATCGGGCTCTCTGCTCAGCAGGGAGCCTGCTTCCTCCTCTCTCTCTCTCTCTCTGCCTGCCTCTCTGTCTACTTGTGATCTCTGTCAAATAAATAAATAAAATCTTTGGGGCGCCTGGGTGGCTCAGTGGATTAAGCCTCTGCCTTCGGCTCAGGTCATGGTCCTCAGGGTCCTGGGATCGAACCCCGCATCGGGCTCTCTGCTCAGCAAGGAGCCTGTTTCCCCCTCTCTCTCTCTCTCTGCCTGCCTCTCTGCCTACTTGTGATCTCTCTGTCTGTCAAATAAATAAATAAAATCTTTTTTAATAAATAAATAAATAAAATCTTAAAAAAAAAAAGATTCTCTTTCTCCCTCTGCCTCTCCCCCCCCCACTTGCATGCACACTCACGCATACTCTCAAAGAAGAAAGAGAGAGAGAAAGCGAGAGAAAGAGTGAGAGAAAGAGAGAAAGAGAAAGAAAGAGATAGATAGATAGATAGATAGATAGATAGTAACTACGGATGTCCATTCAGGCATACCAACTTTTTTCTAAAGCTGCATAACAAGTATTTTTTTGGAGTGGCAATTCTCATTTGTTTTTAGAAGATTGTGCTAGACTCTGAAAAATATATGAGTTGCTCATATATTTTGTACATCATGCTTGGAATCACATTATTCATGAGTCCAAATAAAAACTAAAAGTTCTACTTAGTAGGCTGAGAATTACATGAGTTTAGAAGGAAATATGTTTAAACATGGAAATTAAGTACTAGCAAGATAAATCTACTGAATGACATCAATGAAATTTGCATGGATGCAAATCTAATTATCAGTTAACTTTCATACATTTGATAGTATCTTCATTTTGACAATTATATTTTAATAATCCAACATTGTGATTTTTCTCAATGCCATACATCTAAAGAAAAGGAGCTTTTTTCTTTTCAAAGCAAAATAAAAATAAAAGTCTAATAAAACAAACTTAATACAAATTTTTTATCTTTTTCCAAGAGACAGTTTAAAGCCAACTTAAATAGAACATGCAGATACAAAAGCAAGTGTAAACTGCTTTTATGGAAAGATAATGGTAGATGACCCAGGACAATGCTTGACTATTCACTTAAATATTGACCTGCTGAAATGGAGAGTCTGGGTGCCTGAGTGGCTCAGTTGGTTAACCATCTGACTTTGGCTCAGGTCATGAGGAGGAGGAGAAGGAGCCTGCAAAATTAATTTATTCATTTTATGGCTCTGAAAGTTAAATGCTTAAAATAGCCAATAACAGTTGAATAAGAATACCTCTGATAAATATAATTTTTTAAAAGTGAAAATCAGAGCTGAGACTAAGCTGAGGCAAGCAAACACCTAGGGCACAAAATGTAGGAGAGGCCCATTCTCAGAGTCATGCACAGTGCACGTGAGAGCTTGCCCCACACTAGGCAGGTCCCTGGGAAAATTGTCTAATAATGAGTCACTGCTTTAATCAGCTAAATTTTTCTGAGTTTCAATCCACATGTGATCAAATGCAAAATTTTGAATTTTTCATTGTCTTTTTTGCCCTGGACACCACTATCTCTACCTTTTTAAGCAGTGTCATCTAGTTCTGATAAGACTTTAGGTGGTCATGTAATAGGAAATGAGATCATCCTCTCATTTACATAGTATCAAGTATGTGTTAAATAAAAAAAAAAACGGATGAGTTAATTCTAAGTTGACAGTTCTAGGACATTGGGGCATGGCCTTAAAGGGTTTTATTTTCTATATTAGTGCTTAATTACTCACTTTAAAAGTAGCGAAGTTAAATATCACAGAATTAAATCTTACTGTCCCCACTCTTACAGACGAAACTGAAGCTGATAAGAGTTAAGGAACTCAACCATGATTACATACTTACTGTCAAAACTAAAAGCAAATGCTTTTTTTTTTTTCTGAAGCAAAAGTTTATGATCTTTTTCCTTAGTCCCATTTAGACAAGAATTTCATGATGAATTATTGCTTGCATTAGTTCCAGGAAAGTTTTTGCCTCTGTAGATGAAGTTATATGCTTTCTTTTTGTCAGAAAGTGAAAACTATGTAATTTAATGTGTTTCCTTTTTGTCTTAATTGCCAAAAAAACTCAGAGCTGAATATCTTATCCAGGTGTTATAATCTATTTTTTTTCTTTCATTTTTGATGCCTCCAAATAACTTTTTCGGTTTCCTTTAAGCAGGTTGTGATCTTTTTTACCCTTACAGATTTTCACTTATGCTAAGACCTCTTAGGTATAAAAATATAAAATAATATAAATCTTAAATAATAAAGTAAAAAGGAGGTAAAGCCAAAGAGCAACTGATAGGATCTTGCTCTTGGAGAACAGCAGCAGAGCTTCAAGTTCAGCATTCAGTTTTGAATATAAGAAATGTAATTCCTTAAAATGTCTTCTTTCTTGTTGAGTGTACCTCTCAAGAATCTTCTTAAGTGGCTATCATTTTTCATCCATTTTTATCCACTCATCTTTGCTTTTTTGAAGTAAGATTTGCTGATTT